AATAAAAAATTATAAAAAAATTCTAAATTTAGAAAACTTCTATATAAGCACACTTCTTTATAATCACTATTTTTGGTAGTTCTAAGGTCTATAACTATAAGGGAGGACGACTGTATTTCAAATAATTGGTCTTTTCATTGGGTTGAAGATAAAGCAGCATAAGAATTAATAAAATTTGCAAATTCTGGTTTGAAGTTACTATTAAGAAAATCTTTAGCAGGTAAAATTTTAAATGATACTTCAAAATCTATACAAGAAAAAATTTTAAAAGTTGCATAAGAAGAAAAAATTGGATTAACTGCTATATTTGATAAATAGAAAAATATAGTTAACCAATCACTTATTGGAACAGTAGTAATGACATCTACTGGAAAAAGTTTTATCTGGGATATTCAAGACATGTCTAGTGAATGTTCTCATACTTAAAATATAGTTGATTTAATGAAAAAATGGTTAGAAAATAGTAGAAATGATAACTTAAAAATAATTTGTATTATTACAAATTTAGCAGGAGAATATACATCAGCAAGATAAAATAAATTATTAAATCTTATTTATAATAAAAATATTAATTTTATTATTTTAATATTTAGAAAAGTATTATGTAATAAATATCGTAATATTATTTTTATGCCTTGTTTTATATATTAAACAAATCTTGTTGTAGCAGATATTTTTAAAAAATCATCTTATTTTCATGAAATATCTGTTAAAGCTATTGAAATTATTTACTTTTTTAATTTTTCAACTTATTATACTGGAAAACTTCATATAGTATAAATGGAAATTTACAAAAAAACTATGACTTTATAAAGACCTTGTGAAACAAGGTAGAATAGTATCATTTATATTTTTTCAAGTATTTTAAATAGTCAAATTGCGTTATAGGTTTGTTTAATTTAATTTATATATTTATTAATTTATAATTTTAATTTAATTAAATATAATTTATTAGACTTTAGTAGTAAAATATGGTAATTTTCCTTAAAATGAATTACTAATAAATTCCAAAATTTGTTTAATAATTAAAGATAATGAATTTTGAAATTCTTTATTAAATTTAAAAATAATTTAACTTTTTTATGTAATGCATTAAATAAGCTATAATGTGATAGGGCAAAATTATTTGAAGTTTTACATTATTTTGCATTTTTTATTAAAATGTATAAATTTCATTCAAATATTAATTTTGGACAAAATATGGGAGGCGGTCAGTAGAAAAAGGAGAAATCCAAAATTTTTGTTAATTTTAATTATTAAGCTAATTTTGTGTACATGACCAAGATCAGCCAAGTGGTCCAATAATATAAATTTTGACCAAAATTTGGATTTCCCCCTTTTCTACTGACTGTCTCCCATATGTTAGCAAGATTAGAAAAACGTTGAAAACAATGAAAACAACCCATTTTATTACTTTTATTTCTTTTACATCCAAATTATAGAAATGTTTATTTTAATTCTGCAGAACAACCAAAGATTTCAACAACAATTAATAGTTGGTTAATTTATTATTATGAAACATGATTTGAAATAAAACCAACTAATATTCTTTTAGAATATAGTAGATATATATCAAAAGTACAAGAATTTCAGATTAAATTTGGGGATCAATTTCAAAATAATATTCTTTCATATTGGTTATTTATGAAGGTGAATTATCTAAAATAGCTTGTCAAATTTATGCTATTTCAGTAAATTCAGCATCATTAGAAAGATTATTTTCTTCAATGAAAAATATTCAAACACCTATTAGAAATAGATTACAGGTATGTATAATTAATTTATTTTAATTTATATTTATATTAAATAATTATTAATTTATTAAATTTATTCAGTATGATAAAGTATTAAAAATAGCTCAAATTCATGGAGAAATTGTTAAATTAAGAAATGAAAAATCAAATATAAATTTAACAAAAGAAATTCAAACAAATCAAATAAAAGATGAACAAGTTTCAGAAATAAAAGAATTAGATTTTAAAGAATTTAATTCTTTAAATAAAAGTATAAATGATTGGAAAAAAATTATTGAAAAATGGTTAGATATGATCAATGATAAGAATGAAGTATTAATTGAAGAGGAAATTGAAGAAATTCTTTTGCTACTCTTAATAGTATACATTCTGCTAATGATATAAGAATAAAGTGGAAATTAAGTTAATTATTTCTTTTAGAAATGAATGCACCAAGTTTTATTTCTGAGTTAAATATAGAATAGTAAATTTATAATTTTGTAATTTTTTTTTATTTTATTTTAAATTTAATAATGTTTTTATCTTTATTTTAATAAATAAATTTTTATTATTATATTATTTTATATTTAATGTAATATATAATAAATTATTTTTTTGTTATTTTTAAATATATTTTTTTTATATTATAATATTATTAAACATATATATAAGGCTTTATATTTTATATTGATTTAAAGCATAGAAAATATTATTGATTAGGCTGCTTACTAAAAAACTGATACTGGATTCTGATTCTCCTCAGTGCAGCGATTTTAACAAACTAAATTCGTTAAAATCTGATCAGTAGATCAGCAAAAAATCGATCTACAAGTCACATTACCATATAAAAAATTTGATTAGACATGATATAATATGATTTTATAGATCGATTTTTCGCTGATCTACAGATTCGATTTTGACAAAAAAACTCTTTCTCACTTCAACATGACCACCACTAAACAAACAAAAAATTCAAATAAAAATACACAAAACAAAAATACTTTTATTGAACTTTTTACTTCAAACACTCAAAATACTTCACTTCAAACACCTTTACCTCTCAAACGAAAAATCCAAACAATTTCGATACTGAAATCCCAAACAAACGAAAAAAATTTCTTTTCCTCCTACAAATAATTTAGAAAATATTATTGAAAATATTATTCTTACCCTTTCCAATAATCAAACTATTGACTCAGATATATCCGTTATTACCTTTAAAGTCTCAAATGAAAATAAAGAAGACTTTGTTATAGAAATAGACAATCCACAACCTCTTGTTTTAATTGACTAAAGCATCAATGATTTTATGTACGCTATATCCTCAAACTTTATCCCTTCTCCTATATCAGACAATATAGACATACAGACTCCTGATGTTAAGGAAAAAAAGAATTAACCTGATATGAAGACTTTGAACCTTACGAACAATACATTACTGATAAAAATGATGACATCAACAACAAATCTTTTACTATTATTACCTCACTAACGCATTTTTATATGTTTACAAATACAAAGAATGTTACTGGTTTCTCAATTACAGAAAAACGTTACATGATCAACAAACTTTTCAGCACCTTTGAAGGATACAGGTTGTATTACAATACTAGATAAGAAAATTCTATATTTATTTTCATACATTAGACTTCCTAATATAAGCAACTATAAAATTAAAGAAACTCAACACAATCCAATTTTTTTAGTAATTGACCCCAATGCCAAACAACAACGCAAAGATGATGAAAAAGGCAGATGCATTAAAGTCAATGATATTCCTTTATTTGTAAAATCAGACATTGTATGAAATGTTTTCAAAAAATATGGAAGGATCTGCAGATTTTTAATGATCACCAGAGGTTCTTGATAAATTGCTTTCATTGTATATGAATCACTTGACTCCATTCAACAATTTTATGATACCACTTGGTCTATCTTATTAATGGAATTTTCAGTTAGAATTGAACCTACTGACATCAATGAAATTCAAACTGCTCTTCGCTAACAATTTGAACTTAAACTTACTGGACTCCCCTTTAATACCACCCAATTAGACCTCTCTGGTTTTTTGATCCAGATTAAAGCAAAGTCATGTTTTATTCCAAGAGACCAATAATACTGTCTCAGACCAAATGCATACATTAACTTCAATAATATTGATGATTATGATAACGCTTTTAACTTACAACAAAAATTTAAAAATTGTATCTTATTTTGGGTTACTCCTGGAATCTAACACTGTAACTCCTGTGGTTCTCCAAATTACGAGATCCAATCATGTGACAATCGCTCTTGTCCAAATCCATTTAAACCTCTTTACGATAGATTCAAACCAGCTCAATACAGACCTAAACCTTTCACACCTAAACCTAGCACTCCATGAAATTACGAGTCAAATAATAAATCTAAAAGACCTTCTTATTCTGACTCTATTCAAAATAAAAATAATAACCATATAAGCCAATTGGGTAAACAAAATCAAACCCTTTCTTCAACTGTCGCCTCTTTCATTAAATCAATGATGGAACAATTGACCTCTTTGGAAAATAAATTTCAATTACTGAAAGACGAATTAATCAAAACTCAGAACGCGTTGAATTAAAACAAATCTAACTTCATACTATTACCTGAGTTGAAACCATTGAAAATCAACTACATATTAGCAGTCCAAATCCTTTAAATAACTCATTAACAAATGATTTTACTCTCAATGAAAATGATTATTCCTCTCCAAATGAATCTTTTTCTATTCAAAATCGTTCTCCTATTTTATCACATTTTACATCTATATCATGTGACCAAATGATCGACTAACAAGAAAAACAAATTTTAATGTTATAAGATAACTTCAAAGATGCCAAGAATGATCTCAAAATTATGAAAGATGCTATGATGCAATTTTTACAAACACATTCTAATACTTCCCAATGAATACTATATAACAAACAAACATATCTCTCTTTTACAAGCTAAGTGAAGAGAATAACAATTTTAAAATAGCAACTCATAACGTTAGAAACTGTATTTCAAACGAAAAAAGAAATCAAATTGAACAATTTTTTTTATTTCATAACTTTGACATTCTCAGTTTCTCTGAAACTCATCTGATCATGTAACAATCTTATTCTATTTGCAATAAATTCTAATCACCTGACCTTCCATTTAAATATTTTTTATTAAACAAAAATCATTCCCAAAATTGTCAAGGAGTAGATTTTATTGTCAACTCCTCTATTTCTAAACATATCTTTAATTATCAAGCTTTTTTAATAAAATCATTTTCATAGATCTTCAAATAAAAAACAAACAAAAACTTCAAATCATTCAAATATACCTTCCTTCTAATACACATACTACTGCTGATCATCAACATAGACTTAAAATACAACACAAGATTCTTGATCTAATTTTAGAAGTCAAATCAAAAAATTATCATCATATTGTTATGGATGATTTTAACATTGATATTAAACGTAAATATTCTTCATCAAGACAAAAAAGATACTAGTACTTCCTTACTTAACTTGAAAATCTTGGCTTAATGAACAATTTAAAAATCTTCAATCAATCCTACCCATCAACCTTTTTTTCCACAAATTCCTTCTCTTTCCTTGACTATCTCTTCTCCTTCTCTTCCCTCATTCATAATCTTACCTTTTTAACCTCTTTAAATACTTACTCATATAATTACGAATCTGATCATACTCCATTGGTTTTTTTTTCTACAAAAATAATATCTTTCATTAGAAAACTAACGCCTCGTTCAAACAAAAAAAATTGACCAAAACCAAATTTCTGTATGACAAAACTTCTAAAGAAACATGGAATAAGTTCTCGTCAAAATTAGACAATTTAATTTCCTATTATTGCACTCTCGCAATGATGATTCTCAAACTTTTTCTCATAATAATCTTAACTCTATTTGGGATTCCTTCAGCTGTACGATTATTCAAGCAGCCAAAAATACTCTTCCTAAATACACTACCACCAATCAAAGATCTACTGACTTCCTATATAATCATCAGTCTTCTTATAAATTTCTTAACAAAATCAACAAATTCTATCACCAATGTTACAAAGATTATAATTGTAATATGCATTTTAATATAATCAATCACAATAAATATATCACTATTGTTAACCAATTAATAGAGCAAAATATTCCGACCCAAGACATCAAATCTGCATATGATAATAAATTTTTTTCAACATTTCTGACTAGTCTCAAAGAAGCCATCATCTTATATAGATTAAAAATCAAACTTCTGGACAAAATAGAAGATGAACAATGTATTGCTTCTTTTATATATCAACGAATAAATAATTTTACTGATAATCCATCAGCAATGATTGATTCCTGTCTCAAAAGAAGAAAAACATCAATTATACTAGATAAAGTTCTCGTAAAAGATGAACAAAATCAACCATATTTGGAGTTTGACCCCTCTAATGTTCTTTCACATACCAGTGATCATTTTCAAAAAAATAGCTAATTCCATAAACTCAAATAAAGAATCACATCCTTCTTGGAATCTATGGCAACAATATTATGATGGTTTAGACTATATTGATAAAAATTGCTACTCCTCACTCTAAGACCTTCCTGATTTTAATGAATAGATTCAACTGATCAACTCATTTCCAAACGATAAAGCTGCTGGACCTTCAGGCATTACTTATGAACTCATCAAACATTTTTATACTAAAGCTTACAAATTGCTCTTCAAGATTTTTCACATTTGTACAATTCTGCAAAATATTCCTGCAGGATGGAAATTAGCTTACATTTATCCAATACCCAAACCCAAGTCATAGCAATGTGATTTCAATAATACTAGGCTAATTACTCTTTTAGAAACAGCAAGAAAAATCTACGTCAAATTCTTAACGAATTGATTATCTAGAATATGCACAGAATATCAAATCCTAAAAGGATTATACTTTGCTAGTCTTCCGCATAATTCAACTATAGATCCACTTCATATAGTTAATAATATTCTTGAATCATCTAGATCTGAGACTCAAAGAAACAAACTTTGAAGAATTATGCTCCTACTCAAAATCTATTCATTCTATTTCAAGATATGTCTAAAGCATACGACAGAGTAAACATCTACATGCTTCAGAAAGCCATGTCTCAGCTTAAAATTCCCATTAATTTTATCAATATCATTACCAATCTATTTACGAATAGGAAAAATAGAGTTTATACACAGCATGGCTTATCACCAGAATACGATGTTCTATTCAGTATCAACCAAGGTGAAATTATCTCTCCTCTCTTATGGATTATATGGATTATATACTATGACCCTTTATTATATAAAATTCAAAAATCAAATCTTGGATACAACTTGTCTCAATCTTGGTTTCCTGATCCTAATAATCCGACTCCAATATCAGAC